TCATTAACAAAGAGCTAATTTCTTAATTCTTTCTAAAAATCGCCAACTAAGAAAGTCATCGCCAAAATTTACACAGCTCACTGAAAAGTAAAATAAGTGAGTCCTAAATATATGTAAAGATGCACATTTTTACTCAGGGCAAAATAAATTAAAACTGGGCTTCCCTGGTGGCGCAGTGGTTGAGAGTCCGTCTGCCGATGCAGGGGACACGGGGTTTGTGCCCCGGTCCGGGAAGATCCCACATGCCATGGAGCTGCTGGGCCCGTGAGCCATGGCCGCTGAGCCTGCGCGTCCGGAGCCTGTGCTCCGCAACAGGAGAGGCCACAGCAGTGAGAGGCCCGCGAACCACAAAAATAAATAAATAAATAAATAAATAAATAAATAAATAAATAAATAAATAAATAAATAAATAAATAAAATAAATTAAAACTACTAGACACCATTTTTCACCTTCCAGCATGATAAAAAAATTAAAAGTATAGGTATGTTATAAGTCATAATTCTAGTTATTACTTTAAAATGTGTATCTCAGAAATAACTAAAAAAAAAAATCAAAAGTATAATAACGCTTTGTAGAGTATGAAAAAACATGGTCTCTCACACACTGCTGGTGGGAGTATAAATTGATACAACTTTTTGCAGAGCAATTTGGAATTATCTATGAAAATGACAAGTACAAAATATGGAGTAGATAAACAGCAAGGACCTACTGTAGCATAAGGAACTATATTCAATATCTTGTAATAACTATAAAGGAAAAGAATCTAAAAAAGAATACATATATATGTTACTGAATCACTTTGCTGTATACCTGAAACTAACACAACATTCTAAATCAATTATATTTCAATAAAAATTTTAAAAATTATATATATATAATTTTTTGAAAGGCAAGTACAAATGTCCTTTGACCCAATGACTTACTTTCAGGCATTTATCCTATGGATATACTTTCATGAAAGCAAAATAATGTACATGTACAAGGATATTCACTACAGCATTCCCTACAGACAAGAAACAATGTTAAGTGTCCAGAAATTATAGGACATTCATACAATGGAACGTCATGCAGCTGCATAAAAGAACTAAGCAGTTCTTGGGATTTTCTGTTGTTGTTTTTTGGCTGCGCAGAGTGGTTTACGGGGTCTTAGTTCCTGGATCTTAGCTCCCCACCAGGGATTGAACCCACCCTGGCAGTGAAAGGGTCAGGTCTTAACCACTGGACCGCCAGGGAAGTCCCCAAACCATATATTCTTATCTTTATCCCTTTTGCACAGTAAGTACTTGATAAATAATGACTCCCTGACTTAACAGACTTTTTTCTCATTCTAGCACAGGATCCCATTCTCCTCAACTAAGAGTTCTACCGCCTGAATGCCTCAGCCTTAACCCACAGAGCTCTTCAATCTATGCAAGAGAAGATACATTCCTGGAAGGTTATATTTTGAAAAGTAGATAAACAATAGATATTTATTGTGCCTGAATAATAGTTTTTTCTAAAAGATGCTATCATAATAAATAGTACAATATAAGAGAATTTAGATGCCTTCTAGGGCTTTTCATCTCATCTAGTTTGGTGGCTAAGACATGGTTATATAAAAAAATAACCACCATGCTAGGAAGGATATTACAGCTGCCAAATGAGTCACACAAGTAAGCAGTCTCTCAAGAAACTCAGGAGGAAATATCACATCTACTAGGGTAGTCAGGAAACGCTTCAAAAGGGAAACAGAATCAGAGTTGGGCTTGATGGATGATCTAAAAGGGACTGACTGCACAGTAAGGGACATCCAGGTGGTTCAGGAGCAAGTGAACAGGCTGGTCTGGACAAATGGAGCCTGCAGGTGGCAGGGAGTGCTCCTAGATCCTGGAAATCCACTTACTCAGTCCCTGAGCCTGTATCCTTCCAATGCCCTGGATTTATTTTGATTCTTCCTACTATCTCCCAGAGTTGTCATTTCATCTCCATTCTCACCAACCTGAAAGCAATCCAAGCTCTCATTCCCTCCCTCTGCAAAAATTTCCAAATTAATCCTCCTATTTCCAGTCTCCACCATCTCCAATTTATGGTGTACAACTCATGACATTTGTTACCTTATACTCATGATCCACTCACCCCAAACCTGCCAACAGCTAACCACTGCCTGCAAAATAAAATTATTCTCCCTCTCATTCCAGACCTTCTAACATTGCCCTGTCTCAATCTCTCACTCCATCACTGGACTCACACTCCCTAAACCCCTAAACGTAATATACAAATGTCATGCCTAGGCCCTAGATGTTCCTATTACCCGGAAAATCTCCGTATTTTGTTCCCAGGTGGGGTACACATGGTTGTACAGGTTTCAAACACTGTAGTTTACATAAATGATACCACCTGCCAGTGTTGGGCAGTGCACAACCTCTGCAACCTTCCAAAGACAGCTTGTTTCCATCCTCTTCCACCTTGAGACCTTCCCAGAACAGCTCAACCCAATTGTTGATCAATTGTGCCTCTGATTCCTACATCAATTGCCAGCTTGACACGGTTTCCTCACCCAAAAATGTTACAATATTTGGAATACCGAGAGTACCTTGAACACAGCGGATACTCAAAAGATGCTTGCAAATTACAGTGGGTAAGTCAACAAAGGCAGATTGTGGTTAACGGGCAAAAAGCCTTGGGGAGGGACTTCCCTGGTGGCCCAGTGGTTAAGAATCTGCCTGCCAATGCAGGGGACACGGGTCCGAGCCCTGGTCCACATGCCACGGAGCAACTAAGCCTGGGCGCCACAACTGCTGAGCCTGTGCTCTAGAGCCCGCAAGCCACAACTACTGAGCCCGCAAGCCACAACTACTGAAGCCTGCATGCCTAGAGCCCGTGCTCCGCAACAACAGAAGCCGCCGCAATGAGAAGCCCGCGCACCACAAAAAAGAGTAAACACCGCTGGCCGCAACTAGAGAAAGCCTGAGTGCAGCAATGTAGACCCAATGCAGCCAAAAATAAATAAATTAAATTAAAAAAAAATTTTTAAAAAGCCTTGGGGAATTCCCTGGCGTCCAGTGGTTAGGACTCCACACTCTCACTGCCAAGGGCCAGCATTCGATCCCTGGTCAGGGAACTAAAAATCCCATAAGCCACGCAGCGCGGCTAAACAAAACAAGACAAAACAAAACAAACCAAAGGTAAAGAGCCTTGAAGGCCAAGAGAGAAGTTCCGACTTCATTTGGGAGATGATCAGAATATGATCAGAAAGATGTTTTAGGAAGAAAGCCTAATTTCAGCAACCACAAGCAAACAGGGTTTGAGACACTATTCTCAAAGTACCACCTTAGTTGTCTGTTGGAGGGGGCCTGTGGGAGGCTCCCTCTGTAATGTGCAGCCTCCTCAAGTCATTCAGTCATCCCTCAGTTTATCTGTTTGGGATTACAGATAATGGTTTTCATATACCTACACTCAGAGTGAAGCTTAAAACTGGGCCATTAAGCCAAGAAAAACATGTCTCTGCCTGAAATATCTGCGTATCTAGGAAACAGTTCTGACGTGAATAATTATATACATACATAAAATACATATACACAAATTAAACATTTATCTTCTTCCTTCACTTCTTTTGCAGTCTTCCTCTTTTCCATCTGTCTCTTCCCTTTTTGGTTTCTTTCTCTCTTTCCCCCTAAAATTATTATTCATGTCTCTCATTTCTTTCATAAGTACATAAATTAATTTCATTATACTGATGGAGTACCAAATAAGTAATTCTTATCTGTAAATTGAAAACTCAGAAACTAATACATTAAACAAAATGAGTTTTCTAATTAATTTCCTTTCAAAGCATGTGTCTTAGATTTCATGTCAAGATAGCATATCAGTAATGGACTCCATGGTCCCAGATAGTTTATTTACTTCCTAAATTTAAATAAAAATCTTTACTCTCCAAAGGAAGAATATTATGTGGAAGTAATCCACTCCAGTATCAGGGCACATAGCACCAGTGGAACCATGCACATGTCTATCAGGAAAAGATTACCAGGCAAGCAACCAAGTTTTTAAAATGAATGGAGAGTAAATCTTAAAAGAAGATCCAAGGTAAAACACATGATACAATTTTGTGTTTGTGCCCAAAGAGGCTGTCTCCCTTGAAAGCCCAACTTTACTGTTTATTCCTCCCACCAAATATGCAAAATAAACTCACTAGTACTAAAAACAGAAGTATGCTATCACTACTGAAAGGTAAGCACTATCAAAGGAAAGATCAAAATATTTTCCTTTCATCCTACTAAAGTGAAAAGAAAAACCATTAAATACTGGATACTGTTTCTGAACTTAGGGCAGTTTCCCATGGTTTTTTCCCTCCCCAGCCTGAAGATCTTCCGGAAGTTACAGTGTGAATCTGGTAACAAACGGTGGACAGGTGCTTTGCTAACTCCATACTTGGTAGGAAAAGAAGAGGAAAAGGGCACGGACAACCATTATTTAGAGTCTATCGCTAAATTAATCTCCTTTATAAAAATTCCATTACAACTAATGTTATGCAGAGTATATAGAGTGTGTGGGCAGTGTACAGCAGACCACACCATGATAACAAGACTTCATCTTTTCAAACACCATCAGAAATTGGCAAATAATTCAAACTCCTCTTAGCCCAAGGTTAAATTGTTGAATACTAACGATAAAAGTTTAGAGAAATCTAATTAACCGGTTGCTAATTTGCTCAAAAGTAAACTACAAACATGGGAGGCTTGTTCATCTCTATCTGCGTCTCCCCAAGGCTGGCGATTCGCCCTCAGGAGGGGCGTCTAGTGGGCGTACCAGAGCCGGCTAGAGCTGGGGAAAGCGGGGTGGGGTGGGGGGTAGTGAGGACCAACCCACCCCTTGGCTCGCCGCGCCTATGGCCGCGCTCGGCCCAGAACCCGGCCTGGCTTGGCCTCCCGGAGGCAAACAGGACGGAGACTGGACCGACGGACGGGACGGACAGACTCGACAGGACGGACAGGACGGGCAAAGAAGCAGTGCGTCCTACCCGGAGGGCTCCCTCCCAGGGCCGGCGGAGTACCTGCTCCGGTCATCCAGGCTGCGGTTGTCGGCCGCCGCGGCGCGCCAGTCGGGCAGTGTGCTGGCGCACAGCACCACCATGGACACGATCACGAACACCACCGACACGCTGGCCAGGATCTGCGCGGCCAGGGACGACGTGGGCTCCTCGAAGGTCCGCCGCATGCGCTCCAGCCAGCGCCGGGAGGGGGCCGCCTCGGCACCGCCGGGTCGCGCCTCGTCGCGGCCCAGCGCGCCCGGCTCTTCGGCCGTGTAGAAGGTGTAGGTGTCGGACATGCGGTCGTCGAGGCGGCGCTGGCAGCAGTACTCGAGGTGCGCGCCCTCCAGGCCCCAGTACATCATCTCATTGTAGAAGGAGAGCTCGCACATCCGCGGCGCGAAGCGCAGCTTGCCGTGGCCGCGCACGTATAGCAGGATGAAGCCGAAGGCCTCCGAGTGCCGGTCAAAGAAGTACTCGTTGCGCTCGCGGTCGTAGTCGTCGCACACCTCGAGCACGTCGCGCTCCGAGCGACAGCCGTGCAGCCGGCTCACGCGGCGCAGCGGGAAGTCCTTCAGTAGCTCCCGGGACAGCGAGTACCGGGCGCCGCCCACGTTCAGCACCACCGAGGCCGCCCCGCTGCGCCTGTAGGTCATGGCTGGCAGCCCAGAGGCCCCGAAGCCCGACGGCGCCGCCGCCGCCCCCCAGGCCGCCGCGCGGGGCCTGCCTGCCGTTGGCCGACCGGGGAGCGCGCCGTCGGGCCCCGCAGGCTGTCCCGCCGGCTCTCCCTCCGTGCTCCGCTGCTGCCCTTCGCGCTCCGCTGCTGCCCTTCGCTGGCCCGGGAGCCCCTCGGCTCTAGCCTCTTCGGCAGTCCGGCGTGGCTGCTAGCGACGCTCCCTCAGCACGGCAGTACCTGTAGGTGGCCGGGAAGTCCCCTCTGGCGCCAGCGCTGCGCCCCACGGGCCGAGAACGAAGCTGCCAGCGCCGCCGCCCCTCGCGTCTGAGGAAACCCCCTCCGAGGCCGGGGTGCCCTTTCAAGGCGGCGGCGCTTTCCCCCCTGGGGGGCGTGCGTGCCGAGAGGAGGCGCTGGCGCTGGATGTCTCCGGGTCCCTGGCGCTCCCTCCGGCCGCGGCTCCAGCTAGCGCCCCGCCACCGTCCAGAGGCAAGAGGTAAAGTGAGCGGGTTCGGAGGCGGCGAAGAGCCGGCTCCGAGAGGCGGGGGCGGGGCCTCCTCGCGGTTCCCCCTCCTTGCCTCCTGGCTCCGCTCTGCTCACCTCCCTCCACGCGCCGCCCTCCTCTTCCCATCCGCGCCCTCACCTCGCTCGGGCTGGGATTCCCCGGCGCCCCTCCCTGGACCTCGGGCTCCCCGCCTCGTGACGCCGTCCTCCCCCTCCGCTCCCGCCCCCAGTGGCCAGGAGGGGTCTGCGGAGCAGGGATGCGCTGAACCTGGAGCCCCGGGTGGAAGGGGTAGCAAAGCCCCGCGGCCGGGGTCTCGGCTCCAGCGTCCCGCCCCGGACCATCGGGATGACTTGGGGAGTCTCCAAGGGCCCTTTTAACGGCCCCCAAAGGGAGGCGACAGGAAGGTAAGGAGGAGTGAGGACTGGGGTGCGGGATATGAGGGGCGGGGACAGACGGCGTTGGGAGAGCTTTTTTCAGAAGCTATTCGGAGCCCAGCTCGGTTTCTGAGACCGCCCCAAAGGATTTCTCAGACAAGGCACCCCAGCAATTCTTTTCTTGCCGACTTTGTTCTTCCTCTCCCGGCGCGGAGACTTACGTACCGCGTGCTCCGAAGGCGGCCACACATCCCAGCACCCAGTCTCGGTGCCGCCTTCCCGCCTGCCCTGTCTCGGAGGGGAGCGGCTCGAGCCCCCGCTTTCTGGGGCGCGGGTCCTAAAAGAGCGCCGAAGTGTAGCGCCGCTGGACCCTCTCGTGACGCTTCCTGCGGAGTGGCGTGAAAGTCTGGGGAGAATTGCCTTGCCACTGGCAAGAACAGAATTTCGCATTGCCTTCGTCCGCCTCCTCCTTTTCATAATGTCTTGATTTCCCCCATGCACCTCCAAGTCGGCTGCAGCACCGGCCCTCGGAGCTTGAAGAGCCCTTTAAGGCTCTGCAGAGCGAATTGCCCTGGGCACTGCTCGATGCTCTGGGAGTGGGCTCCATTTGGCAGGGATTATTTTAAATTGCTCCCAGCAATTCACACGGCACCCGATACAGGCAGCCCTGCCCGCGCAGTACCCGCCAGAGGCGAAACAGGTGAGTTGTAAGGCAAGCTATGTTAAATGTAAAACAAGTACTGGAAGAAAAAATAAGAGTGGGGTGGGATGGAGTGGATGCGGTCTTCTGACCTCAGAGTAAACCCAGCTGGTTACTTGAGAAAGGTTTTACTTTGCCCTTCACTTTTCATAATTTCGTAGGATTGTCCCCTGCCCACTAGAGGTCACCATCAAGAGTCGTTTTGCTCTGATTCTAATGTGGATTCCTAGCGAAAAAGCATACACCTAAAAATTGGAGTGCTGTCTCCTCACAAAGTAAAAGCACTCTGGGTGATTTTTTTGTGTGCATTTTTCCTTTTAACTGAAGTAAAGTTGATTTACAATGTTCCAAGTTACAACAAAGTGATTCAGTTATATATAGATATAGATAGATTATATGTCTATAATTTTTTCAGATTATTTTCCATTAAAGGTGTTTTCAAGATATTGAATATATTTCCTTGTTGGGTGATTTCTTAAAGAATGAAAATCTCTATAAGTTGTTTTTCCCTAGACTTGGATATTATCCCTAGACTTGGATAATTTATCTTAAATGCACTTAATGTGATTAAAAACTCAAAAACGGAAGTTGTTTACTTGCTAAGTATCTACTAACCCAGGAAAACATTCTGAATGAAATGTTTCAAGACAGAATCAAAGGAGGTGATGGTCATAAACTGGCAGAGAGAAGGAGGAGAGCCTGCCGAGTAGCAAAATCTCAGGTGTGGAGGACTAAAGTGTGTAAAACAGCTAATGCATTTGCTCGGCTGAAAGGATGGGGATCTCCACTGTAGAATTTAGATTTCATCCTACAAGCTAATGGGATCCCTGAAGGTTTTAATAATAGAGCCAACTTTATATCAGGAAGAGCCATTTGCCCTCAGGAGAAGGCCACTTCTGCAACCAAGGAATGGGAACCCCACCCCTAAATCTTTGTAGATGAGGAAGGGTTATTTCTGAGAAACACTGAGACCAAGAACTCAGCAGGGCTTGGAAATGGATTTGTTATAGGATATAAGGATGAAGAAAAGTTTGCAGTTGCTAGCAGTGTGAAGAGCCTGGCTTCTAGAAGCGTCACAGGCAGCAGAACACAGAACAACTATTTTGTTAATTATTTGTTTCAACGCTACTATATTTATTTCCTATGTTCTCTACCTAAAATCCCTTTAAAATCTGTTGATTGAACCAGCTGAAGAAATATCATATTTTAAATTAAATTTGAGCTTAGAAAACAAACCCTCTTGTACCGTTGGTGGGAATGTAAATTGATACAGCCACTATGGAGGACAGTATGGAGGTTCCTCAAAAAACTAAAAATAGAACTACCATAGACCCAGCCATCCCACTACTGGGCATATACCCTGAGAAAACCATAATTCAAAAAGAATCATGTACCACAATGTTCATTGCAGCTCTATTTACAATAGCCAGGACATGGAAGCAACCTAAATGTCCATCGACAGATGAATGGATAAAGAAGATATGGCTCATATATACAATGGAATATTATTCAGCCATAAAAAGAAACGAAATTGAGTTATTTGTAGTGAGGTGGATGGACCTAGAGTCTGTCATACAGAGTGAAGTAAGTCAGAAAGAGAAAAACAAATACCGTATGCTAACACATATACATGGAATCTGAAAAAAAAAAAGGGTTCTGATGAACCTAGGGGCAGGACAGGAATAAAGACTCAGACATAGAGAATGGACTTGAGGACACGGGAAGGGGGAAGGGTAAGCTGGAATGAAGTGACAGAGTGGCATGGACATATATACACTACCAAATGTAAAATAGACAGCTAGTGGGAAGCAGCCACATAGCACAGGGAGATCTGCTCGGTGCTTTGTCCACCTAGAGGGATGGAATAGGGAGTGTGGGAGGGAGATGCAAGAGGGAGGAGATATGGGAATGTATGTATATGTATAGCTGATTCACTTTGTTATACAGAAGAAACTAACACACCATTGTAAAGCAATTATACTCCAATAAAGATGTTAAAAAAAAAAAAGAAAGCAAATTAATTTGATGACAATACAGTTTGTGTCTCCTAGGTATATTTTCATAAAATATCTTAGATAGGTTTAAATCATTTCATTTGTTTCAAGAGTAATATTCTTATTTGATTTTAATAACAACCACTACTGCAACAATACCCAAGTCTTTTTTTTTTTAAAGTAAATTTATTTATTTATTTTTGGCTGCGTTGGGTCTTCGTTGCTGCGTGCGGGCTTTTTCTAGTTGTGGTGCACGGGCTTTTTCTAGTTGTGGCGCGCGGGCTTCTCATTGTGGTGGCTTCTCCTGTTGTGGAGCACAGGCTCTAGGTGTGCGGGCTTCAGTAGTCGTGGCACGTGGGCTTCAGTAGCTGTGGCTTGCAGGCTCTAGAGGACAGGCTCAGTAGTTGTGGTGCATGGGCTTAGTTGCTCCATGGCAGGTGGGATCTTCCCGGACCAGGGCTCGAACCCGTGTCCCCTGCATTGGTAGGCAGATTCTTAACTACTACGCCACCAGGGAAGTCCCCCCAAGTCATTTTTTTTAAACAAAGAAAACAATAAGATGCTGAGATGATTGGCTTGTCTCAATATAATCTGGTTTAAAAAGCATTCTTAAAAACAATTTTCTTCCTTTGAACTTTGGAAAAAAATATTTATGTTGAGAATTATTACATTTAATTTCTTTTCTGGATTCTGGATGATATTTAGGGTCTTCAAGTATAAATCTTTAAACTGCATTATATTTTAAAGACATCAAGCAGAATTTTAGAGTTTGAAAGAGATTTTCTTGTCTCAATTTATAAGCCCATTATTTGGGGAGGACTAACACGGCTTCAGAGATGTGGCTGTAACTTGCCCGAGGTTCCCCAACCAGCAGCATCACTGTAGAGACAAGGCTAGAACCAGATTTTCTAGTTCCAAACCCTAATCACTGTCTCCAGGGCCTGCATTGCTGCCACAACCTCCTATCTGATCTCTGCACTCCAGTTTTTTCCTCTGTCTGTGAATCCTGTATTATGCCACTGGACAGCTCTTCCTTTCCTTCAGTTTCATCAAGTCGTTCCCCAGTTCAAGAACCTAAAGTGGCTAAGGATCTACAATTACAAATTGTCCTTACAATGAAGTCCACAATGGTTCTAAGGGCTGTCTCTAGGTTCAAATCCTGGCTGTACAACTTATTTGCTAAGTGACTTGGAACAAACAAGTTCCTTAACCTCTTTGGGCCTCCATTTTCTCATCCCGAGAATGGAGATAACATGGTTCCATCAAAGGGGTGATGTGAGGATTGAATGAGACGATGCAAGGGTGGTAGATGGCTCAATGCATGACACTGGAAAAAATCTCACTTCATGTGTGCCTCCACCAGCCCAAGCAGGTCATGCTCATTCTCACTCCTGGGTTGTAAATAAATACAAATCAGACAAGTGAATTGATTCATCTAAAAATGTGACCAACCACAAAAAGTAACCTGAAACATCAAAAATTCAGTGAAAACTTGTGACCCATATACTGCTGAGTCTGGATTGAACATGGATTCCTCCATCACTTTGCACTGCACGACTGGATGTGTTCAGGGTCCTTCAGCAACTCTAAACACTTTTTTTGTTTGTTTGTTAATTATTTTTTTATTTTTGGCTGCTTTGGGTCTTCGTTGCTGTGCTTGGGCTTTCTCTAGTTGTGGTGAGCGGGGGCTACTCTTCCTTGCGGTGCACAGGCTTCTCATTGCAGTGGCTTCTCTTGTTGCGGAGCACAGGCTCTAGGTGCATAGGCTTCAGTAGTCATGGCACGCGGGCTCAGTAGTTGTGGCGCACGGGCTTAGTTGCTCCGCAGCATGTGAGGTCTTCCCGGACCAAGGCTCGAACCTGTGTCCCCTGCCTTGGCAGGCGGAGTCTTAACCACTGCGCCACCAGGGAAGCCCCCTAAATCCTTTTATACAAGGTTGAACAAAGAGAGGCAACTGTAGAAAAGTAACTAAAATATATGGGGAGGCTAAAGGAAGATAAGAATTATTTTAACAAAGTCTGTTTATACACAATTCCCTCAGCTTCAACTTCTGTCCTTGATGATAAGAATGGTACTTTCCTCATGGTACAGGGAAGACATCTTTCAAATTGGGGTTTTATCTCCTGATTTTAGAAAGAAAAGGGGGAGGTCAGAGCACCCTTTTTGTACCTGATGTTTTTTAAGTGCTCAAAATAATCCTTATGCCAAAGTGACGTATTTTAGGGTGGGATATTCTTCTACCCTTCATCATTAACAGCAAAATACAGTTTTGGTGCCATTGCAGAAAGACCCCTCTCCTTTACCTTCACCCAGCTCTCACCCCCATCCTGCTGCTA